AGAAGGGTTGGCTGTAGAGTAAATGATGGACTCAGGTAACAGTGGTTCCGATTGTGCGGATCTGGCTCTGCAGGTTGTGCAGTGCAGATAAAAATCAAGCTCCATAATCCAGATTCATAGTAAATCTCCACCTATCTGATGCTCACAGGGCTCTTCAGCAGCCCATGATTGACGATCATTATCTGAAGATAGTATATCTCTGCTATCCCTGTGGCTCTGTCAGGGATTTTAGGTGAGAATGTTTGATCAAATACAGCAGTAAACAGCTGACGGAGGAGATGCACAGCAGCAGAAACACGTGTAGAAGGATATACATTGATGGAAACACTTAAGAGGCAGAAACCTTGAACAGAACCAGACTTGTGTTGAACAGCCATCTGCCGAGACTGTGTTTGGGTTTAGAGAGGATAGCAGGAGATGAAGGAAGAAGGAGAAGGATAGAGACAAACAGAGCAACAGCAGCAGCAGCAGCAGCGAATAAGACAGATTTATAGCTACAGTGCCGGTAATGATGCTAACAGTGCGGTATAAGCAGGAACAACAAAGGTAATAAATAGACTGATCACTTAAATAGCTTTAGCAACTATAATGATAATGAAATAGGGATGACTGATATTGGTAAATAGCAGTTGAAGTGGGGCAGCTCATTCACTTTAATATTTATGATAATGAGATAAAGAGATTGTGAGATGGAACAGCATCAAGACTCCAAATAGATAGTTTTTGTGTCTGATGGACATACAAATTAGCAGTAGCTTCTAACGTGGTCATCGTAACAGTTTTTTAAGGTGGTAATAAGGCAGTCTTTACCCCACAGTTTGTTTCACTGTCCCCAATAATACGAAAATAATGAAGTTAATCTTCTTTTGGGTTTTATCCCAATATTTCATGTAACTGTTATTTTATGTATATTGTGCTTTTGTTTGTATTCTAAACAACCGATTCTAACTACATATCTCTGAGAACATACTTGTGATCTGTAGGATGTTCAAGCAAAACATTAGTCAGACGTATAGGTGAATCCCAGTGCTTGATTTGTTATCCTTTGACAGTTCTGCCCTGTGAATGCTGGGGACCCACTGAAAGCAACACATAGTTTCGCACCCTCTCTGGTCAAGAGTTTTCTTAAATTAAGGAGTGTTTTTCCAACAAACCAGCAACTTACAAGGTGTATTTTTCATTATTACCACCATACCGTGGAGAAAAACTGATTAAAAAAGTGGTGCTCCATGTACAGTACATATTATCTGAGCATGCTTTGGGCAGTTAATTGTACCTTGCAATGAATGGGATTTCAATTTCAACCATATCTGTTTGCCTTCTGTGGGTACGCACCGTGAGGATGTGTCCGTCCCTCACAGAATCAAAGCACTGACATCAATTGTGAGGAGGTCAGTTGACCTTCGACAGGACAATGATCATGTTTGTGAGGAGGATACAGAGAGAGAGAAAAAGGGGGCGGGGGGGGATGAGAGAGTAGAAACACAGATGAAACAGAGGCTTCTGCTAGTACACAGACAACAGCTGCACAATGAAGAATCTACAGTCCATCATTATCCATCGTTTAATAACAGAAAGGTAACTGTTATCTAATGGCAGGGCTGAAGACACAGTTAAAGGTGAATGATGGCTTTTTAAGACAGTAGAAGCCTGTCTGTGTGGAGTGCTCTTTCAAAATCAAAGAACCACACTTCTGCAGCTTGTGGCTGTGTGTTTAACAATTCTGCCCTCTTTACAATAAAAGCACAAACTAAATTCAGAGGCTAAACCTGTCAAATAAAAATAATACTCAACAAAGCAGTCTTTTTCTGTTAAAGGAGCCTTGACTCGCTTTTTAAGTAAAAGTGTTTTGATCGAATATTTCATGCAGCATTCCGAAGTTCTGGCCTTTAAAATGGGCAAAAATGTCCTATCTGTTGTATGCCTGTTATTACAGTGTGTAGTTTGAATGTTTTTTTTTTTTGTGTTCTTGTGCCTGTTTTGTATTCGTGTTGCTCTGTTCTCGCGCCACAGAGTGCTGCAGGCTCAAAGGTATTACCACGAGTTGCGTGTGATGCACGTTACTTCGGCCTGTGTGCAGCAAGCCAGTGAACCTGCTCTGAAACTGTATACCTGTGCTGAGTAGAGGAGTCGCCATTTCAGCGCTGTCTGTTTGGATCAGTGTTCCCGGTGGCGCTCTGCCCTCTCTGAGAGCGCCACTGTTGGGGATCTATTTCTTGGCCCCTGACTCTGTCCCTCTGCGGAGACAATGGGCCCTTTGTACCTGCGTATACTGCTGCTGTGGGACCTGGCTTCCTATTTTCAGCAATTATACACGATCCCACTCCAGCCATGGCTCTTGATGCCGCTTCATTGGGGAGAAATGCAATCGAAAGGAGGTGAACCACAGAGAAACGGGGACTTGGAAATAGGCTTGCAGGAATTAGATTGTGGTGCTGATAAGTTCCATATAGAGCGAGTAAACATGTTCTTATCTTGTTATCCAGCTTGCACATTAACACATGCTGTTGGGAGGAGGGAAAGGGGAGCTTGAAAGTGTAATTCTAATCATTCTGTTTGGCTTTTTCCTATTCTCTGCTCTTGTCTTCATTTCTGTTTCTGAACGCTGACGCACATGCTAGAACAATGGAGGGGTCAGCGGCACTAGATACTCTCTTACACACAATGTTTCAGAAATAAGTGCACAGTGATTACGTGCCCTAATGTGAGGTGTTTAAAGAGTGGTTTCCTGAAGCAGAGTTAAATGATGGTGCCCTCTGTGAAGTATTAATGATGTGGCTGGATGAATCAGGTCAGCACAGACCTGTTGACGGCAGCTGCGGCACTCTTAAAGCTTGCACCCAGACATCAGGCTTAACCGCTTGGCAAATTGGACATGCTTGTTGGCTGTAGTTCCAATTTATGTGCACTCTCTATTGCAGTTAGTCTGTCTTCATTATTGAAATGGCCTCTCGTCAGGTCCTGACAGAATTGCGAAGATGGTAAGGAGGGGGGTGGGGGGGGGTTCATACAGGAGAATCATGAATAATGTGGAAAATAAACACATTGGAGGCTTTGGCAGGAGGGGTGTTGGGAGTGTGGTAAAATGCCTGGCTTTCAATTTCTCTCTCTCTCTCTCTCTCTCTCTCTCTCCCTGTTCTTCTTTCTCTCCCTCTTTCTCTCTCACACGTGTGATTGTATGAGCAGCTTCTGCAGTGGATGCTGATGCTGTGAATCCTCAGCCTTGGGGCTTTGTCCAGCACACATACAATTGGGCTTAAACACGCAAACAGACGCGACCCTGCAACACATCCATATGCAGCTCTAGGCGCTGAGGTCTGACAGGACCTCTGCAGCCTGACCAGCATTCCAACTGTGTGTTTTGTCCCCGCCATTCTGTAGACTCACTGCTTAGTGGCTGGAGCCTCTGTCTAGTATAATGCTTCTGCCTCCCCGTTTTCTTGGTGCATTGATATATCTGTGCTCAGCTTGTTCAGCCAGTTCAGGATGGGATATCCAATTTCACATCTAGTTTTTTTTTTCTTTTTTCAAAGAGGATGTTTTTATTGCCAGATGTAGAATTTCAGTTTCTTAGTATGTCAAATTGATACATGATGACCTGAAAAACATCTTTTAGCTCAGTAAATGCCACGCGCACTTTAGGAGTAAGTGGGCTTTTCTGTGAGGAGTGGAACACGGTCTGGCTGGGTCTACCTACAGGGTCCTTGTACCTGCTGCACGCATGAGCCGATGTGATGGCTCATGAGATAATTACCCACTGAGCCGGTGTGAATGCAACTGTAAGCTGAAGCAGGGGTTCCCTTCAGGTAGCTCTGTTTTCCTAAGGTCAGTGAACAGCTAATGACATTTAGAAGCAATAGTATGAAAGAGGAGGCAGTTGTTTGCAGTCAGCCGCACACTACCTTTGTCTTATTGTCTGCCGTCTGTCTTAATCTCCCAGCAGCCGTTTTCACACCACGAGGAGATCATGTTATTAGATCCCCTCCCCTGGCTCATTTGTCATCCTGCAGCACTGCTCCTACAGAGGAGGACTGCAGGAGCTGTAAAGAGAAAACAATATAAACAGGCAGGAGGCCACAGAACCAAATGTTCATCATTTACAGGCCCAGAGTCTCGTGAATCGTGATTATTCTTCAAGGAATCAGGCAAAGTTAATGTGCCTTTTTTTTTCTCTTACCACACCTGTTTTCAAGAGGCTGACAAACTTCAACCTCTCCTCTCTCTCTTTACTTTAATGTATTTTCTTGTGCTACCACTGCATCCTGCTACACAAGCACTCTGTCATCTCCCAACCTCCACCATCACTCGCTACAGTTAAAAAAGTAATGTCACTTTCCCGAGTTTACTAACCCCCTCAGTCGCAACTCTTTCAACTGTCGTCTTCGAGCCAGGTTTTTTTTTTGTTTTGTTCCTGCAGCAGAGGCACATAGAAACGTAGGATTGGCTAATTACAATAAACAAATATGCTCAGAGCCGCCTATGCAAGGCTCGCATAGGTTAACAACTCTGCCATAAATTTTAAATGAAGCTTAAAATAGGATAGTGTTGCATACAGTTTCCATAGTGATCTCGGATGTGATTCTTTGTGTACTTTCTTGGCTGGTAAAGTTTGAATTAATCTTAGACACGAATCAGAAACAAAGAGAAGAAATGAGTGGTTGTTTGGTGCAGCCCCAGAGCCCCTTTTTATGTTGCTCTCGTGTTTGCAGCTTTTTCTATAATAAAAGCAATTTAATATTTTCCTTTTTGACTCCGAGGAAAACGCAGTGCGTCGAAACGTTAGTGCTTTGCACCTTAAGATTCTGCCCCTGTGTGAAGGAGTCCATTGAACTATTTTTGACATGTTCTTTTCTTTGTTGTAATGAAACCTAGTGTGCCAGTGTTAATCTTGTTCTGATTTGACCCATGGAAGTCACCCTTTAAAGATTTTATTTGTACTAACGGCTCTTTTTTTTGTCTTTTTCTGTCCTGCTTCTCTCTCTTCCTCTCTCTTTCAACAGGTGGGACAGTCAAAATGATGCGTAGGAGGTGAAGCGTTGAGCCGTATTGATGGATGTGTTAACAGAAAGCAGTCTCACATTGATTGTGAAGACTTCAGAACCAGAAAATGCAAGTGCAGAGAAAACAGGTGACTACTTTCTTTTTTTTAAAGTTTTTTAGCTTGTTAATGTAATATTCCCTTCTTTTAAACGTGAAATGCACATATGCACACATATCATTTGTACTTTGCTTTGAATATTTAGAGATACCTGGTTGTTGATCTGAAAGCAGCAAGTTTTAATTTTCCCAAGAACAATCAAGCATTTATACGAATAAATGAAAGTAAAATGACAACTGTTCTCTCAGATATGAAACATTTCAAAAAAATAATTAGTATAAGCACATGCCATGAAACTAGTTTCTCAAATTAGCCTTCAACCCTCAGTTTTAAAGCTCTTTGACGAGATTTATGGAATGTGAAACACACAATGTCTTTTCCCTGGAATGAAAAGTGGAAAAGACTCATGAAATTAAGCTTTTAATGCAGTTGTTATCCTCTCTCCTGATGCTTCCTTAACTCAGTTTTATAACATCTACCCTTTCTTGTAAAATATAGAAATGTAGGAGTCAGTGCAATCATTCTTTTATTTACACTAGAGGGAGTATGCCTAACGCATCTTTTTCTTCTTCTGATGTATCTGTACATTGGATTTTTGTGTTTGGTTGTAACAGCAGCCTTTTTGTGATTTCCAACAGTCTGAACATTGCATTGATTGTAAGATTTCAGTGCTCTTGATTCTAAATTTGATCGTAGTTAAAGCAGGTATGTCTGCAGTGCTGTCCCTTTCATGTACACCTCATGTACATTACTTCTTTAGAACAACTGCATTTAAAATAGACAATTTCAGCCACAAATACAGACCTCTTAAACATACCTCTTAAACATCCCTGATCTTTAGACGAGATGTATCTTATTGTTTCAGCTCTGGACAGGCTCAGCGGGGTCTCACTGAACTGAATCATACAGATTATCCCTTGCACTTACCTGTTCCTTCAGAGGAAAAGTGGAAAAGGGAGAGTGTGGAGAATAAGTGTAGGAAAAAGAGCGATAGAGAAAAGGGTGAAAGCGTCTCCATTGAGCAGGAATAGGGCAGCTCTCTGAGGAGGATAGCCATGAATCATGCTGCAGTTACTCACCACTTATTATGAACATCCTGTACTAGCTGGATTGATTTCCCCCCACCATTCACAAAATGTCATATAGTGAAGATGGAGCAATAGGTAGCAAGTGGCTTCTGTGTCTGGCCTACCAGCTGGATGAGTTGACACCCCATGTGGCTGAGCCACAGAACGGCTAGCTCTGCATTTAACAAATGTGAAAGCCTTCTTATAGAGGGGATCAGGAGCAGGCAAGTTTGAAGGGAAGGAGATAGCGCACAGAAAAGGGGAGACAAGGAGATGGAAAGGGGGGATGGGAGAGAGAAATTATTTCAGAAAGCCATTAGAGGAAGGAAAAGGCCATGTCAGCTTTTTTCCTTTGAATTGTACTTAATAATGTGATATTCAAGCTATTTTATTCCCTCAGCCACAAGGACGGAGAGATTCTTTTGATTCATGTTCAACCGACTGTGGGGCTATTTTAAATGGTTATAAAACAGTCTTCAATGAAATACTGATGCCTCTATATAACACAGAGAAATAAACAAGACTGTCAGTTACAACATTGATTCCCAACCCTAGGGGTCCGAGCCCCGCCTGGGGGGCACAAGAGATTTCAGGGGGATACAAGACTTGTGCTCTGAGTTTGTCAAATTGCATTTGCACATATTAACTAAAATCACGACTACACACTTACTGGATAATTTATACAAAGGTATTTTGGTAGAAACAAGTGTGAATGTGTATTTTGTAGGGATTTTAACAAACGTTATTTTAATCTTGTGTTTATTTTTGACAGCAGTGTATCAATTTTCGTTTTGTGTGGGTTCAGCTTCTCTTAGATACATGTCGGAGGAGGGGGGGGGGTGTCAGGGGAAAAAGGTTGGGAACCAATGAGCTATAAGAGTCAACATTTATTTTAAGTTTTTCCTGTTGCCTGTCACTTGGTCAACAAAACAACTTACAGCATGCAGACAAAGAAAGCCTTTGTCAACATCATTTTCTGGAAAGTTTTGAGTTATAATTAAGCTGTTTCAAAGGAAGCAGAAGATTTGTCTTCTGAGAATACTATACTTCCACTGGATAAGCACTCATATAATCATTTTGTATTGTCCACAAAACAAAACAACATTTCTCATGGCTGTTTTAATATCGGGGACAGATGCTAGTTATATTGAAATATTGTTTAAAAAATATTGCTTTTATCCCAAATACAGTGACTGATAGTGGGTAGTAAACAAAAAGAAAGAAGCGTGCAGAGTTTGTGTTCCTGTGCATGTGTGTGTGTGTGTGTGTGTGTGTGTGTGTGTGTGTGTGTGTGTGTGTGTGTGTGTGTGTGTGTGTGTGTGTGTGTGTGTGTGTGTGTGTGTGTGTGTGTGTGTGGCATCTGACACATTAATAGATAAGGCCACAGACGCCAACTTGTCTCTCTCTCTCGCTCCTCGTGTCCATGACCATGTCCCTCAGCATGGGCTTGTCTCCCTGTGGAGCCGCCTGGCACAAAGCAGCTCGAGCTGCTCAGGTGGACGAATCCCTGAATGTCATGGCTCGAAAGATACACCAGACTCCAAGAGCTCTGAGCGCTAACTGGTCTGGTCTGGTCTGGTCTAGTTTGGCGGTGGTGGGGCTGTCTAGCATGGCAGGGCTTGGCAGGGCTGAGATCAGAAGATCACCACCTCCTGCCAGCAGCCGGGGTCCATCCATATGCTCGCTGGTGACAGTCCATGCCAGCTTGCATGAGTTGTGTCACATCCAGCATCGGTTTCTATTCAAGAACAATGCTGAAAAAAAAAAAACTACAACTGTGTGATGATGTCAGAGTGTTTTTATCAGTGTAGAAGCTGCTCTTTCTGTTAGCTACGTATTGAATCCTGGCAGCAGTAAGTATTTTTGATGTTTATCTTGTTTACATTTGCCAGCTCAGTAGCAGTAGTAACATTACGCTGGCTTATCTGTGAATATCTGTCTGCTGATCCCATTCTGACCTCTAATGTCAAACTTGATTTGTCATCTACAATCATCACTAAGAGACCCCATGTGTGTGAGTGTGTGTGTCTGTGTTTGTGTACCTGTCTGACTGACTGATCTGTGGCACATTCTGAACAGCTGAAGAGCTAATGGTCCAGCTGGAGACAGATGGCCTCTCGATAACACTATACCCCCAAGCCAATACTCACACTCTATCACTCTCATACACACACGCGCTCACATGCATCCATGCATGCACACACTCTCTCTCTCTCTCCTACATGCACATACAGACATTGGGGTAGGATAGATTGTTAATCCATTATAAACCCTGAGGAAACATATTTTTCAATATGAGTTTAATGTTTCACAGTCATTTTGTACAATCTTTTGGCAATATTAGGTGGCCGCTTAGGTTTCACGCATGCAGGAGAGGATAAAGGAAGTTAATTTCTCCCCCTGTTTTTATAATTTCCCTCTATCTGAGGCTTGGCTTCTATGCTGGGCTAATGAAAGAGATAAGTCATCTTTTCTTTATATTTTCCTTATCTTCAAGTCCTGCAAAATTACTTGTTAGATTTGAGGCATTGGCACTGTTTACATTCAATTCCAAATGAAACTATCCTCTCTCTCTCTTTTGGAGGAATGTGTTCTTCGCCCCTCTGGTCGGAGGTACAGGCTGCCCAGGGCTAAGAGCAACATATGCAAACTTCCGTATGTTCCTTGTGAAATGAATGCACTTAATTTTCTTTAAACCATGAGTGCACTTTCAAGCAGCACTATAGCACTTTATTTATATTGCTACCGCTCCAGTGAAATATTTAACAAACAGTGGAATTTGTTATTTTTCTTGGTTGTATCCCATCATGTTTGTGTTGCACTGTCCTATGTTGCTTTTATCTGTTGTGAAAATAAAAAGCAGGTTTTTGTGATGCATCGCTCAGCCCTAGCAGGGTCCAACAAATGGCAGAGGCTACGAGTTGACCTCGAGCTCAATGTGCTAAGGACTGTAGCTTCTGTATATGGGGCACCTGCTCTACCAACTGAGCTTTTTAACAATTCCCCATTTAAAGGATATTAGTCTAGACTCCACATATTCATGCGTCAGTATCAGTATCATACTTCTGTTTGAGGTCATTTTAGCTCAAAGACAGAAGAAAAACAATAGCAAACACCTCACTGTGATCCTCCTGCAGCCACAGACAAGATGCTACTCCTGTATAACAGTTTGTGTGAGTCCAGAGGGGCATATTTCAATTGTATGCTTGTAGTAAGCATTGCGGTTGCTCCTGAGTGTCTGCGGGCCACAGAGCCAAAGACACCTGCTCTCAAAAATGTCATTACCTTTTTAAATCACTCTCAAATTATACCAACATTCAAAGGTTTTACTCAGCATCAATGCTGCTATATTGAACAATGTTATTTAAGCAGTCTTCCTCTCAAGCATGTATTAATACCTCAATAATGATTAGGTGCATTTACTCTAAAATGGGGGATGTTGCTAGTTAACCTCTGGGAGAACATTAATTGATGTGGTTTGGTTTTTAATTTCATTTTTTTTCAGGTGTGATTTTAAGGAATAAGTGTGAAAGCAGCAGCTTGGGATTGTAGAGGGAGGCAGGTGTAGATGATATTGGTTATACAGTTTCCAACATATGGGCCTGTCGTGTCCCATGTGTACGTACCTGCCTCCGCTGCTGTCATCTAATTATGCAGAGCAAACAAAGCTATCTGCCTGCTGCTACAAGCCCGCTTCTGTGGGTTTTGATTGTTACTCATCAGATGGATGTCTTCAACTGATTAAGATATTGTCACAATCGACCTGGAGAAAATCACCAAACTGAGTTTCACTGTAGTTATTAGTGCTATTGTTAATGTTAAATTTTATGGTATCGTTAGTGCTAAGTTGGATCTGCTTCCATATAGATGACATCTTAAAGGGATGGGGAGATCATGCGAGAATACTGCATTCCTTTGATCTCATACATTCAGTAGTAGGAAAAAAAGAACGCTCACTTTGGTTTATTTAATAGAGGAAGTGTATTTCTGTCTGCTCTTTGTCACTTTCCATTATGCCACACTGTTTACTTCACATGAAGTAGGTGACCCATTTTGTGAACCACCTTCTTTGTTTTTTATTTGTTCTGATCATTTACAAGAAGCATTTAATGGTTCTGTTATATCTGGCTTCTCTTAACTTAACATTAGAACAGCAAGTGGTGCAGAAAAGAAGTTGTCCTTACATAATTTGCCAATACCCAAACGGTTTGAGGCTGGCATTACTAGATGACATACAGTATCAAACCCTGGGGGGTTAATTGACACTAATTGCATTTCAGACACCCAGAAGAAATGTCAGTGCAACTACAGAACAAAAACAATGTAATTTACCTTCAGATAAGTTGAAAGAGCTAAAATCTTTTCATTTTTTCCCCCTGCAGGGATATGTGAGCAGAGCGGTGATCTGAGTCTGTGCGGCCTTGTTGATGCTGCTCTCCCTCCAGCCTCATCTCCTCCTGCCGCAGAGACTTCACAGCAGGCCTGCCAAACTCACCAGAGGACCACGCCCACATCACCAACACTCTCTGTTCCCCTTGACACTGACTCCTCTTTGAGTCTAACAGCAACCCCTTGCCCCCCCACTGATGATGCGCCGACTGTAGTCCCCCAGCTTCAGCACACCCCCACTCCCACATCACTTCCCACTCAAGCTGTAAGCTCTTGGGACCCAAAAGGAGACACCCAGAAGACGTCTCTTCTGCTGCCTGTTGCACTCCCTCTGTCAACTACAATGATGGAGCCTGGCACGGTGTCTGTCCTGACGGATGAGTGTCTTCTTCAGCCTACACGCACCTGCCTCGGCTGCTTCATCGAGACCCGGGATGCTACTGACCCTAATTCCATCCAGAACCCACCCCTCGACCCAAACACCAACCATGACACAGAGACTGGGTTAAGTGTGAGGATAGGAGATGTGAGCCGAGAAGACTTCTCTGACATCAACAATATCAGCATCCAGTGCCTGAGCCATGCGGGGGAGGCAGTGAGTCATTATGGTGAACAGCTCCTCTCTGACCAGCTACTTAGCTTTCCTCTGCCGAAGGCCCCAGGTGAGGGCAAGAGAGAGGATGAAAACAAAACAACGGAGGACTGCGATGACCCTGAGGATGATGTGACAGCTAAAAACCTGTATGAGGGACTGTTATTGGACAAAGTGAGCGGAGAGGAGGTTCTGCTGGCCAATGCCAGCCAGGACTGGGGCTACTTTGAATCCTTCATCAGCGAGAGTAAAATGGAACTGCTGGACCTGTGTTCTAAGAATGAACTGTCAGTCAACCTCTTCTCTGAGGAAGATGTTGACAATCTCTTTGATGATGAAGACGATGACTCAACTTTGAGTAGTGATGTCTGTTCATTGAAGATTCGTTACGAATCTTTCCAGGACAACATGAGGGAAAAAACAAATGTGCTCCAAGAAGAGACACAGTTTAACTTCTTCCCGAGTGTCCTGGCCAACTGTGCCAAGAAAGAGGAGGGAGCAGGAGTCTTGAGGAGGAGTGTTGAGGATGCTCAGCCCAAAACTAATGAGCTAATACTGGAGACAGGACAGGAAGAAAAGGTGGGGGACTGCAGTGGTAAGAGCCCCCTTGATGGTTCCCAAGGGTCACCCATGTCAACACCCAAAGTCAACTACCTAATGGACTTCAATTCAACAGAGGAGTCAGGTGAATTCAGCGATGACAGCTCCTGCACTGGCTCCTCCTCAGACACCCTGCAGGAGGGCAGATTTAAGAAGGGCCACTCAAAGAGATTGCTCAGCCCATCTAACCCTCTCAACTATGGTTTGCGCTCCAAGAGAAAGGTTCGATACAGTGATGATTACTTATATGATGTTGATTCGCTTGAAAGTGAGAAGAATGCAGAGAAAAAAGAGAAAGTTCCTACGGGTCAAAAAGAGGAAGAGGACGTAGACTGGTGTCCTAAGAAGCGTCGGAAATCATGTCGGAAAGAGCCACCAGTGGTAATCAAGTACATCATCATCAACAGGTTCAAAGGAGAAAGACTCATGTCAGTGAAACTGGGCAGGTTGGAACCTGTGGATGCTGCTGTGAGTTTAAACACAGAAACAGTAAGCAAATATGAGAGACTGGCTCCTCTGAAGGATTTCTGGCATGAGAGGCAAAGAGAGAGACAGGAACAGCTTAAGCTGGCTGCCAGAGATAAACAACAACGCGGCGTTCATCTAAACGGACGCCATCATCGTCCTTTTAACTCTAGTCATCCAAAAAGAAAATACAAGATAGCAAACAGGCTTAAGGTTCAGAGGATTCACACTGTGGAGCAATCAGCAACAGCACAGGGCTCCCCTCTCTCTGATCAGGGCCAGAGAGGTGTCAGTAAAGAAGAGGCCACCCCCACGGTAGCAGGAATAACAGCAGCCCCAGGCCTCCCAGTGACATTAGACACAAACTCCATCATGCACACAGTCACAGCCAAGAGCCGCTCCCAGGAGAGAGAGGAGAGGGAGGGGAGGAGATTGGGAGGAAATAAAACAGTCAGGATAAGGAAATTCAAAAGCGAAGCCAGGCTGAGGAGCAAGAAAATGAAAGAGGCAGAAGGAGAGGAGGGGAGGAGCGTGACAAATGAAACGGATGCCTGTGTCGCTGCGGCACAGATTGAGGACCTTACTGCTGAGTTAGAAGAGGCAGGCATTAGCTCAACCACAGTCAAAGCCCATTTCTCTGACAATACCACCACAGCTCACACATCTGAGGAGAGATTTCCCTTTGTTTCGTCCAACTGCTCTCCTGACAAAGCTCCCTCAGAGGAGGAGGTGGAGGCGGGTGTCCCTGTCATCCCAGGGGGCTACCTGCAGACCCTGTTAGATGCTACAGACTCCTCCAGTGGAGCAACTATCCCTTATTTCCCCCAGCAGTCCTCTAGGCAGCAGTATCCACTGGGGCTATCCCTAGAGGAGAAACAGTTTTCTTCTCTGCAGCTTGCTCAGAGCTGTGTCCTCTCCCCTCCCTCCGAGTCAGAGCTACAACAATCTCCCCAGAACTGCCCCAGCTTCCCCAGTATGTGGCACCCACAGCTATGCCCAAGCCACAGCCAGAGCTTTGGGCCTGAGACCCCTGAGACTCCCATCTTACCCAACAACTTCCCAGCTACAGTGCCCTTGAATGACAACATGCCAGTGTCTAACTACAGCCAGCTGAGCCCTGAGGCTGACAGGCTGCTTTATGATAAGAGCTACCTGACTGAGTCTGGGCTGCAGCCTGGGGCAGATCTGCAAGTGTGTCAGGCTGCCTGTGTGGAAGGCCAGGTGCAATACCAGAGAGGGTCCCTGTGTACAGACAATGGCAGGCTCATCAGCTATGACTCAGTGGGTTCTCTGTCAGCCTCCTCCAGCAATTACAGCTCCCTCAGCCTCAAGTCTTGTGAGCGAGAGGGTGAGGAGGAGGGCCGAGACAACTTCTTAGCTCATTGCAGTCCTAAAGTGGTGATTCAGCAGAGTGTGGATGCCCTTACCCCACTCAGGGAGTCCTCAGACCTGCTGGACATTTCCAACTTCACACCCGACAAGTTTAGACACTCATCACTGTCAGAGCTTTCCCCACCTGAAACCCCAAATCTGTCCCCGCAAGTGGTGGGACGTGAGATGAAGATCTCGGGCAATGTTGGAGAATACCAGGATGTTAATGATATGACTATGGATTGTAATAGGGAGGCAAAGTGGAACTGTGATGTTATGCAGCAACAAGAGCACACAGCAAATACATACACAGCGGAAGACAGCCAGTTTCCACTGCACAACTTTAACAGTCAAGATGTTTTAACTATAGATAAAAAGGAACTGGGAGCTACAGAATTTGATGAACAGACCGGTGAAACTTTGGCTGGTGCAAAGAGCATTAAGTCAAAGAGGAAAGGCAATTGCAAACAAACAGCTGCAGGACAGGGCCCGAAGAAAGTCCGGGCTCCCAGAGCTGCTAAGTCAGAAAAGGTCAAAACCCCCAAACAGAACTCACGTTCCACCAAAAAGATAAAGGCCATGTTGGAGGGTAAGGCAGCAAAGAACCAAGCAGGTGGTTGTGGCACAGGTCTGACTGACAGTAGTAGCATTGGGGAGTGGTCTGGCACTGGCTGGTCAGAGAGCAACAGCCTGGTTGGAGACGACCAGAGAGAATTTGAAGAGCCCTCCAATATTCTGTCCAACATTGTCTCTGGCATGGCTGAGGTCCAAAGGTTCATGATGGCCTCCATTGAGCCACTCTGGAATCCAATGTCTGAGGCCTGCATGCCCTCTGAGGCCAATAGTCTCAACCTAAAGACCCTCAAAATCTTGGCAGGCACAGAGGCTGACCTGAAGAAAAAAGGAGCCGCGCTAACAGGGGCCGGGAGAGGCAGAAAGGCAGGGGGAAAGGGAGGGAAAAACCAGGCCAAATTTAATGCTTCTCATCCCTTATTCCCCCCAGCTAGCTCTGGGCTGTAACATGTTTGACAAACCCAACTTTATTAACCCCGGCCCTGCACACAAAAAGCTCTACCGCCACAAGACCAGTGCAAAGTTCCCTCGAATTGAGACACTGAAGGGGAAGCGAGCTGAGAGGGACCCAAATAAGGACTTAGCACTGATGACCTCTTTTGAAAAACTGAGGTAATATTTTGTTATCAGCTGCTGTTGCACCCCCTTCTCACTATTCCCAACTACCTGCTCAGCACCCCTCCCAAGCATACCCACACTGACGCTATGCCAGAGCTGCATGAGTACTTCGCCCCCCCACCCCCCCCCACCCCCGACTACTCCCACTTCCTTTTACCCCACTGCCCCCAGGAGGAAATTAATATCTGCATGAAAAAACTTCTTGTACTTTGCAAACTACCTATTGAGTGATTGTGTCAAGCTTGATTGAGATTTGAAACGACCATGGCTGCATTTTTCTTGCTTTCGTTGTTTCTGCCTTGTTTGTTCTTCTTATAGTCAGTTTTGTTTTACTTTTGTCTGAAAAAAAAAAAAGATTAAGCCTTGAAAACAGTTCTGTCGCCTTTTTGAGGAACTTTGTTTTTGTATTTTCTCAGCAGAACTAGCTCTCCCCCAGATTAATGTATTTATTACCCTTTTCCCTAAAGATGTAGCTATATACACAAAGCATTGAGTGACATCTACACACCCCTCCTCCTCATCTGTTTTTGTATGCAGAATATGGATGTCCTGTTGTTGCTGTCCTTCATACACTGCCTGGCTCATTTCAAGAGGGAAACCTACAAATATTGAGCCCTATTTAAGCTCAAGACATCTTGAACACACAAGATGGGACCATTTTGTATTGATGACATATCAGACGTTGTCTTTTTTTCCCCCTCAAGGTTGGAATGACTGTCCATTTACTTTTATCAAGCATTTCTTTTTCTTCTGGAGTTAAGAGGAACTGGTTATCTAAATTTACATTTTTACGCCTTGCCAATTCATAAAAGCTCCACCCTCAGAGTATTTTTGTCAATGTTGTTGTACAGGGACATGCAATATTTGCAAAAAAAGATGATTATAATCTTAAAATCAATGTGCCAAAAGTAACAATGCTGTGTAAATGACCTCTTATATATGTGTGAATATTGGCTGTTCCTCTTTTCTATCCATTGGAGTATTGGCTGCTCGGGTTGGAGACTCCTCACAGAGATTTGCCACCACAGGAAATCTTTATTTGGGACTTTTCTCTCTTCTCTGATGAAAGGCACCAACAGCTGGCAGTGGTACGCCACCACTCACTAAACCAAATCAGAAAGACTTTGAATTCTCCTTGTTTCCCCCACTTTGTTTGCCAAATTCAATTTACCTCAACATCGCCTGGCACTGAGAAGCAACAAAAGAGAGGCAAAGGGGAGATCTGCTCTGAAGGTTACAGTAGAGGATGAAGATGAAAAACGAGAGGCTCAAATGAGCTTTCTCTGGACCAAGGAAAGGGTAGTGCAGATGTTTTAGGGTAAGCAAGGAATTTATACTGTATGTCAGTCGGGGCTGTTCCCCACTGAATAGTTGTTTTATACTGAATAATCAAGGCAGTTTATTACTCATAGAGATTCTGATGCACACATCAGCCGTGAATGGACAGGACATTTTTGCAGTTAGGCTAAATGTGAATGTGAAAGCAGTTTTCAGTAAAAATCAAATTAGTAATCTTGTAAATGAAGGAAAGCATGTCTTTGCGTTAACTCCACTTGGGAATCTTACTCATATCTTACCTTAAATGGTAATTTAAACAGTAATTATTCTTGACATCCTCATGTAATGTATTACTTAACACTGCCATCTTTTATAAGTTGCACCAATGGTGAATTTTCTTTCTGATTATTTTTATTAATTCTTCTTATTTTTTTACATGATATCAAATTTGTATTTATTTCTTCTGACTGCACTTTTATTTACACATTGACTTTTAGTGTCATCTCAGTTTGGATGGGTTAGTATTTGGTAAAAAAATATCGTCAACTAAAAATCAAGGCCAAGTAAAGGTAAAAAAAACCGTGGTGCTATCTGATCCTGCATATTCCCAGGCTATTAATGTAAATTACTTTGGGCTCATTCACTGCCTCACTCCTTAAAAATCCACCTTGAAATGAAATGAATCATACAATCATGTTTGATAGACTTTAAAATGTTTGGATTATATATACTGAATGAACTTAAGGAGAACACAGAGCCCCTCCTACAACATTTAGTCTTTCAGTTATTAAAGGAAACAATTGGCCAATAGTTTGTTTCTGTTTTGAACATGAATTTGAAGCACAGCTGTTAGATTGCTCAGAAATATGTGGACACATGGAGGCTTGACGTAAAAACAGGCCTTGTCACATTGGATACGGTAATTCTGACGCACAGGTGATGGTAATTAATTGCTTGCATATGGCAAGAATCATAATCAATCTTTCTATCTCTTTTTTTCTCTCCTCTCCGCCATGATCCTTTGTTTCTTTTCTCCAGTGTATCAGGGTTAGGACCAAGACAAGCTGCTGATGGGAAGCTCCACATGGGCTGCAAGCCCATTAAGTCTGCCTTCTCTCATTTCTGCCTATTGTCAAATTGAATGTACTTTCTGAGTTCATAGTTTTTAATTTTCTTCTCTCTTTTTTTTTTTGGTAAAAAAATGTGCCACTGTTGAGCTGCCTCATGTTAATGGTGCTAAGAAAGCAGACAATTGTTTTATTTTATTTTTTTTGATTCTGTTTGTTTACCCAGATTTAAAAAAAGAAATGCAAAGTAGATTAGGTACCTAACCCTCTTTATGAATGTATATTATAATGTTATGTTTGATGTATTCACTTCATGATTCTTTGACATTGATTGGAATTACTTTTGCTCTTTTAATTAAAAGATTACCGAGCTTTATATATACTGTCTAGAGTTGTTACAAGAAGGAATCTTAATGAACTCTTGACACTACAAAATCTTGTATATTTTTTGTGTGCCAATTTGTAACATATTTTGTAAGTGTATATTTTTCTTAGAAAGTGCTGTGAAGTATTTGTGTGTGTGAGTAACCTTTTAAGCGCCTCTGTGGGCAGTGGAAAGGATATAAAATGACGAGTTTCTGGTTTTAAAAACCAAAATATGAAAGTATCAACAGAAAACTAGAACTATTTACATTTTGTTGGGAGTTTTGTAATAAGACCATGATCTTGTTGTGAGAGTGTTGTGTTACTGTGAAAACACAAATAAGCAAAGAAAAAAAAATGAAAACTTGGAAAAAATATAATTTGTGAACAATTTGCTGTTTTATAGATTTTCATGTAAATTATTTGAGTATTATTTTGTTTTTTTTGTTTTGTTGTAACTGTTGCAAAGGTTTTAAATATTTGTGATCAAGCCTGTACGGTGACAATGTAATATTGGTAACTTGCTGAGTTTTGTAATAATGTTTATGGAGTAAATATACAAATTAAAATAAGATTTTGAATGCTGCTTTCTGAAGAGAGCTGGGTTGTGTTTTTACCTCCCACCCTTTGCTGTAGCCGGATACTTCAATAAAAACAACAACAACAAAAACCATCACTATTTACTTTTCACCAAACATACTCAGCCCATTTGAAAGTCTATTTATAAAAGGTTATCACATTCAGGTGCAGAGATGTAACATACCTGTCAAAAACATACTCTCACCCATCTGTTCACCCATTTTTTTGGCACTACTACAATAATAGTAATAGGCCGTGATTATTCAATTTGTTCTCACCACAAAGTGTGTAAGATTAGTGCAAACCATATTCAAGTAAGTCTGCCTTTGTTATATGGAAATATTCTTGGACCAAACACCTTTTTAATTTGTGCACAAGTCTGGCTCTAGCTCATGTTATTTTAATGTCATATCTAATTAGCACACAGGGTCAGGCATCGCTAGAGTGACTGCTCATCCATAACTCTGAGCTAGGCCGCTGTGGTCTGCACTGCAACTCATTCTGGCATGCTTAATTGGAGCTGGAGATACTGTCTCACACCATAAACAGATCGTGTGATGTATGCCTCCAGAATTGTCAGGTGGTATTAGCATTGTGTTTGTTCTTTAGTCACCCATAGCAGACAAGGGAGCAAGCAAATTATAAGACAGAATGTCTAATGCAACGTATCAGGTACACCTGCGGTTATTAAATGAGATCCTAGTTGTGTCACTGTGTGTTTACTGTAAAGACAACCATAGACCTTTTTATTAGCACAGGAGTTTGTTATAATGGTAATTGTTTGTGTGATTGTTGTTTTTGATCATTACTGACAGGACTACAAGGTAACATTATGAAAGAATAAGCATCCCTATTTCTGCACACTTTGTAATGAAGGCTTTGACGTCTGACCACAAGAACAGCTAACTACACAGTTATGGAAATAAATAAGTGTTTTGCTGGCACACTTGTTCTTAAGGAAACCTATCCAAACACTATCTTTCACCGGCTATTCTGATGTGTCAATCAAGTAAAAAGGATTTTTAGTATAGGTAGGCTAAATCCTTTTTGTGCTCAAACAGTAGCTTAAACCCCAAAGGCCCCCTTTAACTGTCTATATTTCATGGTATTTTAAATAATAGGAAATCACATGTTTCTGTCGATCATCCACCTGTCATAGTGAGCTGTGTACGGATCACCTAGCTGTGTAAGCTAAAAGTACATGTAAGTATGCCACCTACTGCCTAGGGGTCATGAGTGCCGTTTGTGGCATACTGCTATACAGTCCCTGCTCCACCTTTTTATTTGGTAACTTTGAGAAAAGGAACTTGTTATAGATTATTAGTAAGCTAAAATACTTCCCCAGGGGGATAATTGGTGGTATATTATTAGCTTGATCCTATTTTACCTTTTTTTGTATTTATTTTTCATGCATTTTAAGGACATCATATGCAACTGAAACAACTTTATAATCACTGCAGAACATTTCTGAATCAAATTTTAATTAACTTTGGAGGAAACAAAACTCCCATTTGGCACCATGTTGTTAATAGAGTAACTTTACATTAGTTTTACAATTAGACAAAATATGACTGAAATGTGTGTAATGCATGATTATTGGACATGTCCCCTGGGTATCAAAGGTGAAGCAGAAGTGGAAGGGAAGTTTCTTTAGGAACACTAACTTAAACTGAACTTAAACACATTTCCCACTAACAAAAATATATTTTCTCGTACTGCCATTCTTGCAGACTATATTGTGCAATGAATGACTACGGTTAGAAATGAAAGTTAAAAACAGCATATATGGCAGTATATTTTGTTATAATCTAAAGAGGAGACTGAACAATATTTGCTAACTAAACTATACTTTAATGTCTACTAACGTTTAATCTTTATTATCTTATAACAGTGACATTTGAAGATTTTTTCATTTGAATTTGCAAGACAATCCTCCACACAGTAGTGGAAAAGTTTTGGGGTAATTTAATACAATTGATAATTATATAATATATGCTACTGAATAAATACATTTTCTTATCAATTCTATTTAAATTTTGATGAACCTTGAAAGTGTTCACCCTCTGACAATGTGTTGTAAGCAGTGTAGTGGCTACTTACCAGATGACTGGGCAGGATGAGCATTTCATCAGTTGGATGGAACTGAAACAGAAGTGGCAATGAATGAAGAGTTGAGACAGTTCTTCAAGCAATACAGAGGCGTACTGTAAAACACAAATCAAACTTTTCACTTTTTCAGTGTCATTGGAAAGACATCAGATGGGCTATAAGTGTGGTTCCCAAAGTGGAGGGGTCGTGAGCCACCAAGAGGAGGCCCCGAGATTCCTTCCAAAATAACGAAAACAATTTAAAATGATTCAAAATGTAATATTTTACCCATTATTATAAATATCTAAACAAAATATTTTCAATTGAAAAAAACCTCATTAAGTGAAAAGGAAATGAAATTAATGTTTAAAATACTTAAAATGTAAGTTTTCATGAAACAAACAATGTAGGTGTCGGCTGCTCTTTACACATAAAGATGAACCCCCCTGTTAAGTTTTCTATGTCCACTCTAAAGTCTATACATGGAGATTGTATACTGCTTCAAGTCTTTATTACAATAAATTGTGATGTCAAATAATGTTATAGTGTTTAGGCTGTTTTATGTATTCTCTTTTGTTGTTTTTTGTCTTACCTGTTTGTATAAGCCTATTGCGTGTGCATGGCGGTGAGCTGTTAATGCCTTAACCACCCCCAGGGACTGTGGGTGTCCCCCATCTCTAGCACCGTAATTTTGGGGGCCGCCGGCCAAAAAGTGTATAATTAATAATAATACATTTTTTATTGCTTATTTACTTGCATTTAATATTATATTGTTTATTTGCTAATATTGTGTGTTTGATAACCTGCTGCTGTAACGCCACAATTTTAGAGTTTGGGATCAATAAAGTAAATCTAATCTAATCTAATCTAATCTAATCTAATGGATTGTGGCATATATAGTGCTAGGTAAATCTCAATGGTATGGAAGCCCATTTCCGCCAGTTAAAAAAATAAAAATGAAAATAATAAAGTCATAATAATGAGATAAGTCAAAATAATGAGATAAAAAATTTGAAATTATGAGACTTTATTATTTTTTTTACTAGCGGAAATGGGCTTCCATACAATGGACTATGAACATTTGGAAGATTTAATTGAAAGCCTTTTACAGTTTACACAATTTACAGAGCGCATGGAAGCATGCCGGTATGTCTCCAGATCTTTGTCCTTTAAAACTTGAATTCTACAGAAGGAAATAGTATTTGCATGTACAACCGCTTCGTGACGCTACAGCGGAACAGAGCAACGAGGTCCAAAACAAACATCCTTTTTCTAAAGCTCTTCTGAGACAACCCGGAGACTTCAATGCCCCGGGTGAAGACTGTCAGGCAGCCTCACTGCACGGTCTAGCCCCGCCTCCTTCGCCACGATTGGAAGATGGTCGCTGGATCCAGTTAGTCTATTTTATCGCAGTGCCTTGGAGTCTGCACTCGGGGTGGAAGTGAGTGCCGCTCAATCCGTTTCCGGGAGATTATTGTAGCCTTCCTAAAAGAAAGAAAATGGAATCCTGAAATCGCAGTTAGCAAAACACTAAAGCGGGTTTCAGACACTTTTAGAGGAACACCTGGGTTGTTTGAATACATTGTTACTGACACCATTGAACAGGTAATGTAACGTGGATGTGGTGACGGACTGTGTATTCCCTCAGATTGTCTTTATTTTCATTATGTTGCTAATTGTAGCTTGTTTGCTCTTGATCTGAACGTCACCGGCTGACGTCGGCTGTGAAGCTCTGCGGTAATGCTAACAAAACCTTCAAAACGTGGCTTATAAATCAAACAATGTACAAGGCAAATATCAAGTTCACACCTTGATCCTGTGCAGTATATGTGCGGAACAAGTAGTCCTGTACAGCTAGTGTAATTAAAGACTGTTAACAACAAGTGAAGAGGTAGCATTAGCTGAGGCTACCGAAGTGTAGTTAGTTAGCATGTTAGCTAAGTCAGGGGACAACACCTGCGGAGTTGTTTAGTTATCAAAGAGATTTTAAGTAAACCATACATACGACATCGTGCTTGAATATATTCTGTTGTTTACTAGCTCTACCACTAACTGGACAGTGTAGCTATCTGTGTTTGAAGTTGTCATAGTTAGCCACCATGGACAATGCTACAAGATAGCTTAGCTTGATGATGCCATTTTGTTTTTTTTTATCTCCACTTTGTTCAACATTCTGCTTTCATCCGAGGCAAAACCGTGATGTTGTCCCGCTTTACGTTTGCCTGCTACACGGTCACGTTTACTGATGGGGGGGGGGGGGCTTTTGGACAAATGCGTTGACTGGTGTGATACAAACAATAGCTAAAAGTTTGGTGCTGTTGCGATTGTAGTAAGTTAGCATGCTAACACAAGCTACATGGTGGCAGTGTGTCACTTTGAGATGTTGTTTTATTGAACATGCCATCACGGTCCTCTTTGTTTACAGAGGTGACTCAGTCAACGGGGGTCAAATCAGACATTTCATTCATATTATGAGAAGCAGAATGTATTTGTCATACGTCTTCACTGTTTTTCCTTTTTTTCCTTTTTTTTTTTTTTTCTGCAGCAGCTTGATCTTGCTGAGGATTGGAGAAGATCCGTCGACCTTCCCTCCCTTCTGAATCAATGGAGGGGTCTGACAGTTTAGATCAGAGTGGCAGTGACCAACCAGAGTCGCAGCGCACAAGTCAGCAGGACCGCCTGAGCAGGGAAGAGGCTTTCTATCAGTTTGTCAACAATCTCAGTGATGAAGACTATCGACTCATGAGAGACAACAATCTTTTGGGCACTCCAGGTAAAAAAAAAAAAAGAAAAAAAAAAAGCATTTCATCTCATCTTACAAATCTGTATTCTTATGACAGAAATCTGTGATTGTGACACGGAAGCAAATCAGTTATTATTAAATAAAAATGGCTCTGTAACGAGACCCTTTTTAATCCATATATCAAAAG